CTTCCCAGCATCTTGCATATCATGATGGCATAGCACTGTTAGGGAAAAGTATTAAAGACATATGAAAATCATTTATTGAATTAGACACGCATCACTACAAGCAGGGCTGGAAGTTAACAACCAAAAAGAAAACAAACAAACTACATGAACATGATAAGAGAGGAACAGACAGATGAAGCCATTAAGATTAAAAACCAGACTTTTGAAAGAGTAAATCAATTCAAACACCTAGGATCTTTATTAATTGAGAGAAACGAATTACAAACAGAAACAAAAAGAAAGAATATCAGCCGGAAACAGGGCATACTTCAGTAGTTAGACAATACTCAAACGTAAAAACATTACAAGAGAAGCAAAGAAAACTATTTATAAACTGTAATCATATGTAAACATATGCAAGTGAGACTTGTACCCTAACAGAAAGGGTAGAAAAATTATAAAACACATAGGAGAGAAACGTTATCAGGAAAATATATGGACCAACAAAGAATGAATATGGATGGAGAATACGAACCTACCATGAATTGTACAGTCTATATCAGGATCCCACGATTAGTAGCAGAAATAAAAAGAGGCAGGCTACGCTGGGCAGGACACTTAAAGAGAATGCCAAATGACAGAGAAACGAAGAGGGTGCATCACCAAAACCCCAGAGGAAAACGGCTAAAAGGCGGATCTAGGCTTAGATGGATGAATGATGTGGGGAAAAGATCTACAACAACTGGGAATCCAAGCATGGAAAAGAAAAAGCATTAGTTAGGTCTGAATGGAAGGAAGTAGTTTAGGCAGGCCAAAGCCCTACATGGACTGGAGCGCCACAGGGATGGATGGATGGTTTACGTTTTTAACGACATTATATTTTTTTCACAATAATGTTTCACTTGTTTTAGTTCGAGCCATCCAGAGGTAAATACGAAGGAGTTTTATTACTAAAAATTAAAATTGAATTTTATCCTGAAGCTATCATAAATCAATATCCAGTTAAACTTATACTTTATACCAAAATTCATTTATAATAATTGAGTTGTGTTTCAATGAATAGACTTTTCAAAAGTAAAAATCAATATTAATTTTCACAATAATGAGTTTATAAACGCGGTTTAACACTCAAGTTATTGATCAACAAGAGGCCCATGAAAGTTGTATACATAATGCCTTGATGTTTGTAAAAAATTCAAAAGTCTTTTCACTCGCCAGACATGTTACGCATCTTTGAGTTGATTCTTGTCACACTGTGTTGCGTTACGAACAGTTGAGATCGATCGTATCATATTATGTTGAGGTCATAAAAGAGTAAAGCTAATGTCCATAGTCATCGATGGGGTGTAGCGCAACAATTGCACAAGATGATGAAAACTATTAGCTCGATTTTTACAATAATCAGGCCATTTTGTTCTCAAATATACCCATAATCGCAATTAATAGTTCTCTATGTGTGCACTTACGTTAGAATACAACGCTATATTCAATAGCACAACACCAATAGCTACAAAATTGCACTAAAGAGCGTGGTGTTAGTCAAATAGCCGCGCAAGATATCCTCCCCTTTTTCTAAAGGGATTCTTATAAACACTGCTTGCTAAATTTGATGCTATGGAAATCGAATCAATTTAGATCTGTCAACATAATTATGCTTCGGCCCATATGTGATAAAATAAATTCTTTAATAAGCATTTTTTTTTTTAAAATTAGAATTAAAATTCTCAGAAAATACAACTAATTGATATTCATAAAAAGTGTTTTCCTTGAATGTGTGATTTGTCAAGTAAATTTAGTCGTAGATGGGATTTTCCTACACCTCTTTAAAATTGAAGATCCATTAAGGACTCAGATGTGCTAATGTGCTAGGATAATATTTAAGGAGTTACTATATAGGTTTTTGTTATATATAGATAGATAGCTAGATATATATTAGATATATATTGTTACGGCGTTGCCATGTGAAGTTCATTTTCACAGCAATATTCTCAACACCTGGAATTCACTGAAAATCTATCAGGTAGAAATATACAACAATTGCGTAGTGGCTAGGAAGTTGAGTTAGAGCCCTAATCATTTCAATGGCCGCAAAAGTGTCTTAGACGAATTGAAATTATTTTTGAAAAAGTGTTACGCTTGAAATTTCAATATTAATTCAGTTAAGGCAGATTGTGGGCCCCAATATTCGTGATTCAACTCGGCAAGAATTGTTGTCTTTGTAAGAATAGGTGTTGTTGAAAGAATAGTTGTCGTTGTCATAATAGATGTTTCCCGAAGAGGTAATACTAGTAAATAAAGTATAAACATTTTGAGTGACGTCAGACGAACTCATCTAAGCTGCCGAAGTCCGTGATGGGCAATAGCATTTAGATGTCAGCCACGCCACTGGCAATGGACAAGCTCTACTAGGAATAGAGATTGCACCTCTACGTGATTTTATAATTTAAAGAACACGGGAAAAAAACATCTTTTTACAAATACAATTTAACTAGACAATTTACGATTTTTAAGTCTAACCAATTGATCAAATTGTGGTTTAAAGCTGTCACCTGAAACTCATCGCAATTCAGACACAAGAGTGATATTTGAAAAAAAAAATAATAAAAAAAAATTAAAAAATTCAGTTGTGGTGGAAACTTTAAATTGCAAAATTCGACAATATAAAGTACTGGAAATGAATATGTCAGTGGCCACATTTTTTTGTTCCAGATGTTAAATAAACATACGTACCTAGCAACTGTTCAAAAATAGTGTCCTGTATCGGGTGACTTTGGGATCACGATCGTAGTTATCATGCAACGTACATCAAACAGGAACGAAGTGTTATCCCGGTTGCAGAGTACAATCAGTCAACAAAGTGACAGCTAATTAAACTCACAATGAATTAACAATTTGTATTTAACAATTGTGTATGTGACCGGTTTTCCAGGTGATGCTCACCTTCTACAGTTACGATGTGACCGGTTTTCCAGGTGATGCTCACCTTCTACGGTGACGGGCTCTTCAAACAGTTCATCCTCTTCAACAGCACAGCGACGACTATCTACGATTGGTTTAAACCGCCAGGGGTTCTCAACAGCTCTTGGGCCGATTTGACCGTCAATAAAACGTACAGCTATTTTAGCTTTGACGGTTGTTTTAGATCCTAACTTCAATCGCAGGTTCTTAATCGAAAATTTGTTCAACACCTGTGAAGGAGATATTGGCTGGATAGGGGTGGTTGACAAGGTTTCGGAACAGTGTGCGTGTGCCAAAAGGACTCCATCGTTCCCAAGATTCTTCTACTCTCCAAACAACACTAAAGTGTATCACGCCAACATGCTTTATGCTGATGTCCTGGCCATTTTCGTTAAATATTAATTTTTTAACTTGTGTGTAGACATCATTCATCACGGGAAAATTCAGTTTCATCACACTTATTTTAATTCCATATTATATACATCATAGAAAACCATTATTATTTTTAATATACATAAAAAGGTAGCCTTCATTTAAAATTTAAATTTCACTTTCGGTTGTACGACAGTTAATGACCTGGACACGCAATAAAAAAATTACGAAATGAAACCTGTGTGAGTCAATAGCAACACGTTTATTTTAACCATTTGTTACACCATTCTTAAAGCATCAAATGAATTGTTGCGAGCTTAGATAAAACCTATCTTTTAAAAGTAAGAAATGAGCGAGTCTGTTGAGAAAATAAGTTCTAAAAATTACATTAGGTCTCAAACGAATATTGGCACGAGGCGTTCTTAAAAAATTGAAGTTCGCACGACAACATGTTATAACAGCAACGTTTAGCATTGTTTACATTGACTTAAAAGTTTTATCTATGAATGCATTTCTTTGTGAAAATGAAAATGCATTGTTTTCTTTATTATGGGTTTACCTCAAATAAGTCACTGTTATTTGAATAGCTGGTAAATCACTTTTTGTCATGTCTATAAATAAAACTAACATTATGTATTAGATTCATCTATAAAATGTTGCTAAGCTCTCCATTTCACTAAGCGTGTGAGCTGCAGTGAAGGACGATATGTTTGAGCTTGCTACCGGCAAGACACTAAACAAGCTTAAAGATTGTTATTGGTTTTGGTGTAAATACCACGAACTTATTAACTCTTTCCCTATGTGAAATGGTCTGAAAAAAAAGACCTTAACTCTATCCCTGTGCGAAATTTTCTGTAAATATTAAGACCTGTACTCTTTCCCTATGTGAAAGCGTCTGTAAATATCATGACTTTAACCCTTTCCCTGTCCTTTATTTGTCTGTAAATTTCAAGACCTTCGCTCATTCCTTATGCGAAATCGTCTATAAATATAGTAATTTGGGAAAGGCTCGAAAATCTCATTTACTTGTTAACACCCAAAGGGAGCAGCACACAAATAAAATGTTGCAACAGCTTCATTGGTTTGTGGAAATTAATTGTGTATGCAAATCATTCGCTGAAAGAAAATAGCGCCGTTTCGAATGCAGTGCGAAACTCAAAGCAGTGACGATAAAGTGGTGGCGCCAACAATGGCATCGTTAAAGCGTGCTTATCAAAGCATACCGTGTATAACTGGACATCGGAACCTACTATTGCACTTGTACGTTTCGCATCTTTTTCTTATTTTTTCATCTCGTTAAAAACATGAACGTTTACAAGCTCAACTTTTACAGTTAAAATAACCTTAAACACAATTTGCTCTTTTTTCTTTTTTTTTCTCTTTTTTTCTTTATTGATTAATGTCAATTTAAAGTTGACTTAAAATTATTTTTTATAACTACCAGTGCCGATATAAATAGAAATAAAATGTTAAAAAATTTAATTATTATTAATTAATTATTTTAAACATTGATAAAAAAAGTAGATTAAAATTAAAATTCAAATAGAATGGAATTGATGGGAATTCCGGGAATTTTTAAATTAATAAGAAACCTAGAATAAAACTAACACTAAAAAAAGGATATTAAAAACAATATAATTTTTTTTTTTTATTTTTTTTTTTTACTTTTTTTTTTTTTTTTTGGGGGGGGATCCTTTTGTTGATAAATGACCAGGATTTTAAATTTGTTATCAGAGACGAAATATGATAATGCAAAACTCTTGAAAAGCTAGCATGCGAAGGAAATTTCAAAGTAGGATGCCAGAGATTGGATTTTTTTTTTTTATGTTTTAACATTTATTTCCAGATCGTTCTTTTAAAGATAACTGCTGGTGATTTCTGGTTTACTGTTAACAACATATCTCAGTTGGCCCATGAATTGATGTTAATCATGTGATAATTGCTCTAATCTCTTATTTGCTGTTCCAAAGATATCTCATTTGGCCCATGCGTGGATGTATCTGATGTGGAAATAGCTTTTATTTATCATTGTCTGTTAACGACATATCTTATTAGACCCATCCATGTTTTTATCTGAATTGAGATTGGTTTTTTTTTGGTTTTTTTTTAAATTTCTTATTAGATTCCCGGATTCCTAACCCATGGGTTGCGATTTCAATTTAGAATGGTTGTTTTTTCTGTGGTTTTACCGACTGATATAGATTAAGTATCAATCATATCCATTGTAATTTCAAGTTTCGTCCGATTTCTTAATGTTCGAAAAATTTCATAAGTCTCCCATTCGCTTTAACACATCTCAGCCAAGAAAGCAGTTTGAAAGCTTCATCGTCTATAAAATATAATATAAAAATATTGATAGTGAGGTGAGTTTAGCATTAACACAATGTTCACAGTGAAGTTTGACTCTAGCTGTTAAGTTCTAATTTCAATCATCTTATGAATATTTCGGTGAGTTAAAATTGCCATTAATTATATTTGACTGAAAAATTTACATTTCCTTTGGGTTTTCATCCTAGTTAGGATAACTTTTCTTTTAATATAAGAGTGTTATTTTTTTTTCGTTTAAGTAAAATCTAAACCGCGACGTTCATGTGAAATGACTAAGGGTTGTTTAGATTCCAAACAATTTTTTTTTTAAAATTAAAAAAAACAACAACAACAAGAGTAGTTTAAAGCTCAAGTTGTTTCAGTAAATATGAGTGTTTGTTTTCTCACGGTCTCGCTTCTTTTTCATTGTTTTCATTTCCGCGGACCATTATTTGCCTTTAGAAATGGAAGAAATCACTCATTTTAAAATTAATTTACTTCCCTCTACGTGAGATGTGTGTAAGGCTTTGGGAAACGATTGGATTACGTTTGGAGACTGGGTAGTAAGTACATGGGAGCTGATAGGATCCAAATGCTGTACTGGATCATGAGACATTTCTATTTTGGGGAAATGGCTGCTGAGGAAGTTAAGGAGGTTATGGTGTTGGACATAGCAGGCTTTGGGGGGGGGGGGGCTAGAAGATTTTTTTTTTCTTTTTGCTAATGTATTGGGATAACTTTATTCTGTTGGTTTTTTTGTTGTTGAACGGATCATCTGTGAGCTCAAATTGTTTTAATTTGGGGAAATGGCTGCTGGGGAAGTTAAGGGGGTTATGGTGTTGGACATAGCAGGCTTTGGGGGGGGGGGGCTAGAAGATTTCTTTTTTCTTTTTGCTAATGTATTGCGATAACTGTATTCTGCTGGTTTCTTTGTTGTGTAACGGATCAGCTGTGAGCTCAAATTGATTTACATGTTCAGGGCATACAAATGAATATATATACATATAAGCTGAATATACAAAAAAACTATAAGTGCATTTCTAAATATAATGATACATTTATAAAAAAAATATCTACATCAGTAAACTGTTTAACGAATTTTTAGAATAAGTTCTTGATAATATTTTAAATTATATTTGGGGATAGTTTATAAAAATTAATTATTTTATTTATCTCGAACTTTTATAAATATTTAAGTATTTCTAAAATTCAAAAACAAAAATTCTTTTTAAAAAATGGTATTCGTGGATTTTGAAATGTATTTCTCGAGAAGAGGTACACACATTTTTTTAAAAATTGGGAATTTTGTATCACATCTTTTTCACACTAAGCATTTTTCCAAATAAACTGTCACTTTAAATCAATGTTACTCTGATCCATTGTTCTTTTCTTTCAATTTTTGGGGAGTGAGTGGGAAGTCTTAAAAACGTAATTTGGTAAATGAATACATACACAGAAGCAATCACATTATAACAAAAAAGCTGCATACATCGTTAAAAAAATCCCACTAAATGTAAGTTTCTGTGCACATAACCTTGCATCTTCTAGAAAGCATGAAGTCCATGAAGTCGCACTTACTGATTGAAAGCATGATTTCTATGACTTTGCCCTCAAGGTATTTTCCATCTTTATCCCTCGCTGTGGACAATAAATAATACATTTTTTGTTTAACTATTAAACAGACAAAAATATTGCTAATATGATCTAGTTAATTCGTTATACGTGTAAACAATTTTTTTTTTAAATGTAGCATTTCGGTGTTTGTTTGGAGTATAGTATATTGGGAAGTTTATGAAGCACCAAGAGGTTTTTTTTGCAGGCGAAACGGCATAAACATGTTTACACCAAGAAACACCATTTTTTTTTTATAGCTCAAAATGGAATACAAGAAACAACACATCATGAATGTAAACTCATTTATAACCGAACTGTATTGCAAAAGGTGAATACAGACTAAGCGTAATGATAAAACGCATTTGTTGGACGTTGAATAATTGTAAATTCTAACAGGAAATCGACTTTTTTTGTGTGTCAGGGGAAATACAATAAACCGCAAATGTCACTCAAAATATATGACATCCCAATTTTTTTAAAAAAATACGCGCCATTCTCAGAAATACAAGAACAAGATGAAATTCACGATACGCGGAGAAAATACACGCCAGCCATGGAAAATGCACGACGTCCAGTGGATCTCCATGGCATATTTAAAAGTATATGACTTTCAATGGAAATATCCGACATCAAATGAAAAAAAAAACGATTTATCCGTTTTATCTCAATTATGGATTAGGCTTGCATCTAATAACCTTTGTGCATTTTTTGTTATCTTTTAATATTGGTGTTCTCTTGTGTGTTGTGTGAGTGCTTAATGGTGGGCCTTACTACAAATTTAGTGAAACTAAACTTACTCCTGAGATGGATGTATAATGATGTCTTCTTGCTCAAAGTTTACCATTTCATGCACATCGCCTTGTTGACGAATTATTATCGTGGAGTCTAAAATCCCAATCGATTGTTCATCCTTTTCAGATGTTGAAATCAGCTCCATTAAAACTCGGTCTGTCAGTTCGATATTAACAAAAAGATATATATTGATTGCTGGTAAAATATTGGATAGCAATCATTTTAAATTAATTCTTTCTTTTTTTTTTTTAATATTTAAACTTTTTATTTATTTGTTTAAAATTGTATATAATGTATTTGAATTTTATAATAATTTTAAAAATGTTAAAGCATTTATAAGTTTTAGGTTTTTATTTTAAAATTTGGATTTTTAACATTTTAATTTCAGTGATTGCATTTATTCTGTTTTAAATTAATTTACAAAGTTAAAGAATATTTAATTTCACATTGTTAAAATTTGTCGTTTCATTTAAATATATTTTACTTCTATCTTTTAAGGATTTGAATGTTTTTATTTTAAGCCATGAGCATAAAAATCTCAGCGTTGTCGACAGGGATGTGAAGAGAATCATGCTATCGTTGACGTAGTTATTGGTATGTGCCGCACGAGGAAGGCCAAGATTTTCGCCTCACGATGCCACGAGAAAAAAAATATATGAATTGGGACGAAAGCGCCACCCCATTAAATATCCAAAAATTAAGGAAATTGTAAAAGTTTAGTTAATGGACACTTTGGTTAAAGAGCCTCTTGTTGGAAATGTAAAGAAAATGTACAACCTACATATCATATAGACTCAAACAAAACTCTTTGCTCATTTTATGCTTTTTAATCCTATGCTAGAACTGCGTTTTTAACCTTTTTATTACTCATTGCCTAGTTTATTCTTTTATTGACCTCTGTTTCCTTTCCTATTAATTACATAAAATAACTTCTTTTTTATTTAAATAAAATCTATTATACGAATTTCTCGTGATCTCTTCCATAAATACGCTTGGGATACCGGGAGACAGGGGTCATTTGACCCACGTTAAGAACCACTGGGGTAACATTAAAAAATAGGTCTCAATCTTTGACCTAAGGTGCCTCCGCCACACAGTGTACATTATTTGACTGACAAAACCTATATTATTTGGGTTTTTTTAATAGTGCTTTCTAAACATAACACACCCTGTCTTCTGTTTACATCGATGTCAATGAGAGGGAAAATTTCTGCCGCATTTCCTGCTACACGCAATGTGATTGCGTCATTTAGGTCCACGTGCAGCTCTGGGTTGAGAGTATCTCCGGTCACCAATGGGAATGTCGAAAAGGCTCCTATTGTGAAAACAAATGTTATTAGACCAATTTTTTTTTACCCAATCAATTTAAAATGTCTAATTATTTAATTTGTATTGCATTAAATTAAATTGGGGCCAACATAATAGATTCAATAGACCTCTGGGTGACAAGAATGAAAGTATCTATTGTTAAAATCGATAAAAGATAGTCATTACAAAATATTATGAGGTCAGGTATATCAGACTTCAACAGACTTCATAAACTTAACATTAAATTCATATGTATAAACCAAGTCTTGACATCGCTCCCTAAGAATTCCAAGTGTATGGCTCCCCTTTTCTTACGCTTAAATTTTTATAGTTTTAAAATCGTCTTTTAAATAGAACGTGCCTCCATATCTGTAGCCGCTGTAATCATAACACATTTTTATTTATTTGGATCAGTACAAGAGTCTTTTTTTTTTTAGCTTTTGATTTTAGAATAATCATGCTTATTTATATTATTCTTTTTTTTCGAAAGGAAGTTTTTAGATATATTTGTGATGTTTTTAAATTGTATTTCAGTTTTTTTTTTAAAATCATGTCTAAAGTCTCATTGCATTTTTCTAAGTGGCATCAAAAACTATACTATTTTACTTAATTTTTTTTTAAATTTAAAATCTTTGAAATGATTTTAGAATAAGCCATCAAATGTTTTGTCCTGCGCGATACTAGAGAAATGTTGGTTGTAATAAAAAAAAAAATTCGATAGTCTTATTGGCTAAATTATCAACAAGGGTAGCTAGATGTCTTGAGTTGCTTATCTGTTTATTAAAAAATCATCTGATATTTCAGAGCTTTTAGATCACATAATATTTACATTGAGATTCAGAATGAATCGTGTAATGATTCCCCCCCCCCCCCCCCCCGCACATTGATAGAGTTGTGACTAAATACTCATTGTTAACATTTAATAAAATATCATATAAATCGTTCTCTTAATTGTATTTCAAACTAGGTGTCCGCTTTGTTTTTCTTAGTGCTTCTCTCTTTCCTAGACGTACCCTGAGAGTTCTCTGTTCTTGAACTGACAGCTCCTAAGACGCCAGCAGATTGGCCAGTGCGCTGGCTTCGATTTATTCTTGCACTGGCCTCATTGTCCCACAGGTTAATGGAATAAGGCTCAGAAGCTGGGGAATCCAAATATATCCATTCTTCAAAATGCCTTGGTTACAAATGGGGGAATAGGATGATTTTTTTTTTTTTTTTTTTTTTTACCCTTTTTAAATTATTAATTGCATTTTCTCTCCAATTAATACGTGTATTAAAATATACATGAGGCTATAAATGTACAAGAGAGACGATGAAGAAAATAAAGCTGGGGAATCCAAATATATCCATTCTTCAAAATGCCTTGGTTACAAATGGGGGAATAGGATGATTTTTTTTTTTTTTTTTTTTCTTTACCCTTTTTAAACTATTAATTGCATGTTCTCTCCAATTAATACGTGTATGAAAATATACATGAGGCTATAAATGTACAAGAGCGACGATGAAGAAAATATAACTAAATCAAAGTTAAGATTTTCTTGTAAATTTATCTGTTTTTAAATACTTCTTCATTATGTAACCTTGTCTTAACAAATCTTATAATAGCAAACGGCTACAGTAAAATCATGTTCCAGAATAGAATTTCAATTATTTTTGTTTAACTTTATTTCAATAGATACCCAAGAATTGTTCTTCTTCAATGTTCTAAAAAATCCGCATATTTATATAAATTTCTAACTTATGATATTTTTATTGTTTTCTTGCTATTTTCTTCTTTTTATTTCATACCGAAACTAGTCTCGTCCTCCTCGACAATATTCGCAAAGTGATCACCTGAACTTTCTACGGTAGTTGTTCCATTGCCCCGATCAACAGCTGTTGATATGCTAAGTCTCCTCGGAAGCGTTATGCCTGTTCCAATGATCAGGTGTATCAATATGTAAGCAAATATTTATATTAAAATCTATATTTATGAACAAAAGATATAAACGACAGGGTATATTCTATACACGTTTTAGGGAAAAATTAATTTTAAAAAGATTTTTGTATTAAAAGCTGTTGAAGTTGATATAATTTAAGGCAAGACTTATTATTACATTTTAAATGCCAGTAAAAATCATGATGCCAAGCTGGTAGACTTCAAAGACTTTACTTGCGTCCATTGAATTAAAAAAAACAGTTATCACATTACTTCCTAAGAAGTCTGACTGTATGATTTCCTTTGGGTTCAAATAATTTTCACTGTTTCGTTTAACAAATATTAAGAATGAACACATCTATGTAGGATATTATTTTGATTTGAATTGTAGGGTCATTTGTGCTTGTTTTTTTTTTTTTTTTTTTTTTTTTTTTTTTTTAAAATTTTTTTTAAATTCTTCTTATTTTTTTTTTTTTAATTTTAATTTTTTAAAAATTTGTTTTTTTTTTTTTTGTTTTTTTTTTTTTTTTTAATTTTTGTGTCTTTTTTTTTTTTTTTTTTTTTTTTTTTTTGCTTTTTTTTCTTTCAAAATTATTTCTAAATCCTCGTAACTTTTTTTTTTAGAAGGTCAATGTCATAAAACTTTGGTTTTTGTTTGTTGAGTTTAGGACGTCCTTAGATGTCTTCTGGGCTACTTTAAACAAGAGGATGGGCTCAGATCAACCCTGATCTTCTATTTAGTTATCTTGTTACAATTGTTGAAATTATTTTACAGTGAGCAAGTAAATTCGTATGGCTTTTTTTTAAATAAAAAAATTAAGACACAATAAACTATTATGGTTGTAGAGTCGTCGCGGCAAACTCATCCACGTGTGTATATCTGAGGTAGGAGCTTTATGTCTTTAATTGGTAATCTATTTATCAGATGAATTCAAGAAACTAAGGACATTTATTATGATATAGCATAGCTCAGAAAGGAGAAATAATTGCAAGCAAAATTCATAAATAAATCCTGTTGTGCTTATTTTTGTTATTTCTCCTGAAAATTTGTAGAGCTGTTTTTACGTACTCAAACGTAAATATTTTTTTTTAAATCTCATAGTGATCTTTTCTGTTCAGTTTGATTTCCATCCAATTGTGTACTTTGTTTTTGTTTGTATTTCTCTTTTTCTACACTTACCTTGAGAATTCTCTTTTCCGTAATTGGCAGCTGGTAAACCGACAGCAGACTGGCCAGTGCGCTGCCTGGTATTATTTCTTGCACTGGCCCCATTGTCCCAGAGATGCAACCCTGAGGGAGAGAATGTCAGAAGCCGGGTAAATCGTTACATAATGATTCTTCTCAATAAAACAAACACACATAAATGCACCCTTTAAAAAGGACACATAAGGGTTTTAATTTTTTTTTTTTTTTGGTAATGATTGACTTTTTTAAAGCTGTTTGAATAATTAGTTTAATCCTCTCCCCTATTAATACATAAATCAAAATATAAGGCTACTACTGCGCTGGCGATCATTATTAGATGCACTAGCTGGAGTGAGTCTGGGTGGAAAACCTGTAAAATAAAACATAAAGAAAAAAAGGAAATATTTAACAAATTAAACACTTAAGGTCGATTGCCAGTGCTGTACATCGTTTCCCAAAATGTCAAACACACGCGACTATGTGTTGAGTGAATAATCTAAATAGTTTATTTACTGATGACGTGCAATGCACTGTAGTAACAAGTAATTAATGTTTGGCCTACGAATATCTCTTCGACTTATTTATTACAGGAAATTGACTAATAGAATTATTTTAAGTATCCACGCATTGGATTAAAATCAACATTGGCGCATGTAGACAAAAATCCCCACATTTTATATAAATCTCTAACTTATGATATTTTTATTGTTTTCTTGTTATTTTCATCTTTATCTCTTATACCAAAATCAGTCTCGTCCTCCACTATAATATTCGCGTCGTGTTCAACCGAACTGTGTACAGCATTTGTTCCACTGCCACGATCAGAATCTGTTGATGATCTGGGTCTTCTCGAAAGGGATACCCCTTTGAAAATAATCAAGTTTTAAAAAAAATTATTTATTTAAATATATAGATGGACATACTGCAATTTAAAGATTGACAATTTAAGTATTGGAGTGAGTTATTTTTAAATGTATGGGTTTTTTTTAAACTGAAGGTGTTAATTTTTTTTTTGTAAAGGTCATTGATTCTACTGTCATACTGACATGAATGATTTCATTATACGCTGATTTACGGTTGTTGATGGTATTAATGATTTTTAAACTACTACTTATAAAAAAATAACGAGATTCTATAAGCAAAAACTAATTGGATCAACAATCTATGTAGTATTTAAATTTACACATTATACAATCTGCATTTTTTTTTCTACAACGTAGTTTATATATATATATATATATTTCATGTCGTCTTACATTCTAGTTGATTTTCTCCCTCATCTATTTGAGAAGGAAGAGCTGCCCTTCTTGGTATGCCGTCCAAGATCGGGCCTATGGCTCCAGACTCGAGGTGACTTTCTTCAGTAGCATTTATTTCTGTGACTGTGACGTTAATTTCCTCTTGGACCTGACGACTGTCAGTAGCGGATGCATCGTCTTGTGTCGCATTTGTTGTTTGCGCGTGCAGGGTGTACACGAAACACGGGTCATTGTGTGAGTACGGCAGCCAATACGAGCTGAACATTGTATCCTTCCCTTTCCCGTAAAATTCTTCAACGGGAGCGATTGATGCTTTTCCGAAATCGAAACACTTGCCGCTCCTGTAAGATACGCTATCGTGTCTCACGCTGCTTTGATAAAAAATGTCAAACTCCCCATGATATCTTGTGAAGGCCAACGAAGTGAAAACGAAGGACAGTACAAGGCGTTTTATCCGTTTGTTTAAGCTCTTCGTATTGCGTTCTTTCCCCTTAGCTGTTGTAGTAATTCTATCTGGTCCTCTCTTCTTATATTTATCATTATCTTTTAAATTGTTGCTTTGATCCCTAGGCGGGGCATAAAAAAACTCCGACACAAGCTTGCAACAATTTATATTATATTTCTTGTCATTTAAAAAGCTCGCGAATGACTCCGTTAAGCTTTTGTACGCAACCAGCCCGTTCCAATTATTTCTTAAACACCTTTTCACTGTAAAAGCTAGCGATTGTAGGTAATTAATTTTCAATACCAAATCCATGTAAAATCTGAGTGATAATACCGTGTAAATTAAGGAATTTCCTGGAAATTTGGACGAAGCAATGATCGGGATTTCTAACGGTCTTCTCAGCGGGTATCTTTCAAGAACGTGTTTTTTGCCTTCCGTAGCATACGAGTTCAGGCTGGTCAAGTTCATGTCATTAATGGCGTATGACTTTGCCCTTGTTTTGGGCATGTTCTTGGCAAAGATCAAACTATTGTCTGCTGGCAGTGATTCTTTCTTTTGAAATGCCACAGCAGTTGCTTTTGAAAAGTCTTTACTAATCAGAGCGTGTTCAAGAAATTGGCGAATGGTGATGAACTCCTTTTCAGAAGAATGTTGACCTCTGTTGGATCTGATTGTGTAAACCCTGGAGACGTTAAACTCCGTTTTACATTCAGAGCCTCCTTTGCTACAATGGCGAACACTTTGCAAGGTAGTTTTTTCACGTGACGGCATCGACTTGATATACTTTATGAATTTTTCCAAGTCGCGTAAGCATCTTGCCTCGTAGACATTTAACTTCCGTTGCATGTAGCTCTGTTCTTCCCTAGGCGTCCTTGCCGCTGTCTCTAAGCATTTGTGTCTGGCAGTTATCAAGTGCAGGATCCGCTTGCGAAAGATTACATGAAATGGGTTGCACATAAAGTTACGTATCCAATAGTACTCAAAGAATATGACGACATCATTTTCCCCAATTGTACCAAATTTTATGATATAATTATATAAAGCAATTGGTCTGTTAAACAAGTAAACAAAAACTACTAATACAAAATTAGTCATTTTAAAAATTAAAAATGCTTTTTAGCATTGACTCGATGAAAAAATTCAATGTGGCTACTCTCTTTCTCTTCTTGTCGTTGGTTTGGCACTGTGAAACAGAAAATGTAGGTCCATTATTATTATATTATGTAAAGAAAAAAAAATATTTTTGTGTCTTTGGTATGTATTTATGGCATTAATTTTTCGTTCAATAGGCTAGCAAATAAAATGCACAGAAATTAGCACTAAGGGAAGTACATTAATTACGTCACCATTTTTTAAGCAATTTAAAATGTCAAAATTTCAGTAATGATGTAAACATTTCTACACCCCCCCTACCCCCAACCCCCCCACCCCCATCCCCAAATTTTTTAAAATATTTTCTTAATGAATTTAATATGAATAAATATATAAATACATTTTATTTTGTGCTTATCTGTTTTAATAACACAAAATTGTAGGACAAACTTTTTCTTTCATCTTTAGCTTGTTAATCGACAAGTTTAAATTGTATATACTAAAAATATATATATATATAACTATTTTAATATACACTCATTATTTTTTTTTTTAATAATGTAATAACCAGTCTATTTTTAAGATGAAATTTTTACTACATAAAACATTATTGTTGACAATTTTATATACTAAAAATATATATATATATAATTATTTTAATATACACTTATTATTTTTTTTTTTAATAATGTAATAACCAGTCTATTTTTAAGATGAAATTTTTACTACAGAAAACATGATTGTTGACGTCAACTAATCTAACCCCCCCCACCCCCCGGGTCCCCCTTGTCAACAACTGTCAAACATTTCCAAACCTCTCCCCCCCCCCTCCTATTTTTTTGACATAATTAATGGACGAACTCTAACTGGGATTTTTATAAAGTGTATTTATTGAATACTTGTTTTGTCCATCAACTTTAGTAGATGCGAAGTTCGCGCATTGCACCCCCCCCCCCCAAAAAAAAATTGTCTACCGTGACATTTCGGGTGGATTATAATTTTTAATAATTAAAAGTGTTTCTCCCCATGTGGATGAGTAAGTATATCTCAATGCTGCCGGGCGCTTTGTTAAAACTAAGTTCACACAATCAATATTCCATTCTATCAGTAACGTTGGTTTTTGTTTTTTAAAATGCGTTAGCGTATGCATTATATATTTATAACAATAGACCAAGCCTTTTTTTAATAACCTATTATCTAATAATAGGTCTACCTTATTTATATGTATGAAAATGAAGAGGACTCATAAGGAAGAGAATAACAACTGGGAATAATATTCAGGCAAATTCAAAAGTTGAATGTTACATCGTTGTTGTTAAAAGCCCACATTTAAAATTGTGCTCCGGATTAAATTCTTAAGCCCAATTATTAAAATCCAACTCTTCATTAGTTAAATTCTTAAAATCAATTCTTAGTATATATTTTTTTTTCATTTAGGCTAAAATATTTGGTACTATCTTATATCTTTATATCTTATATGGACCGAACATGGGCCCAAACAAAAATTAGATAATTTACATAATTATACTAATTTTTTTACAAGTGATATGAGCCAAAGATGTTTTTCCAAGCATGAAAATGTTACATGGTTTGATCATGTCAATTTAATACTTTTTTTTTTCATTTTGAGGAAACACTTATCACCTGTCAATAGCACTAAAGGAAATCTAGGAAATAAAGTTAAAATTTGAGTTTTTTTAAGAAGTGCCTAAACAATAGTTTCGTATATTGGCATGGAGATGAATACGTTGGTGGAATTTATGCATTCATAACTTATTTTTTGCATCATATTATTCAACTAGTGACTCGGTCCATACACTGATGGTTTAGCAGCCTACCTCTAGCATTTCGTTTTCCCTGCAAATATATTTGCTTAATGTGCAGGCCACCAAGTCTTAAGTTATTGGCAGAGTATCTAAATATTTAGCGCCATATCTTATCATTTTTGCTCAGGTTCCAGTTCAAATAATTTAACTTGTAACCCACTTTCTAACTTTAGCAATTATTGTATTTAATCATTCTTTTTTTTCGGACGTTTAAAAAAAAAGGGGCAAGTATTAAATAAAATAATTGTAAATGCCAGAAGTAGGCTGATGAGTAATCATTGTATGGACCAGGTCAATATTTGAATAATGTGATATAAAATACGTTATTAATACATTAACCCCATCAAAGATAGTTATCCAAACCGTATTGCCGTGTCGATCAATTCAAGTTTAACATACCTTGTTCTTATATTTCATTTACACAACTTGAATGCAGTCCATCAATTATTAAAATTGAAAACCAAAGACTCACATTGAGGCTGTTGTTGTTTTTTTGTTCTTTTTCTTGTTTTTTTTTTTTATTTACAGCCCCCAAAGTCGGACATTGCATTTATTTTAAATAAAATGAAATAACCAGGATTTGATTGGAATTGAAATAAAATTAATGTCATTTTATTTTATGATGATCCATAAATAGTATAGATATAATTTGACAACTTATGATAAAATTTAAATGACAAGCATGTTATGGGATAGTGTATGATAATACATTAAAGAGAGACAGATAATATGACAGTTCATGATAATACATAAATGACAGACATGTGTCAATTTAGTCCGATTAAAAAAAAGAGCTAATACACACATGACAGGCAAATAATATGTCTGCCAGATAAAATGAAAACTACAAATGACGACCAGATAATAAGATACTACATCAATGGCATCATGACAACCAGCACTCAATAAAACATAATGATACCTCTAAATATATAAATATATATATATATATATATATATATATATATATATATATATATATATATATATATATATATATATATATATTTGCCATATTATTTTCTAAAAACTCACACAAATTTAATTTAAATAAAATTATTAAAGATAGACACTGGATTTTTCTGAGCCTGCTCTTCCCCACTACCTTTAAAAATGAAAAAAGCTATGAACCAAAATTAAACATGACGTCATATCTATATTTACTTTATACATGGTAACCAAGTGCTTCACTGCCTGATCTTGTTATACCCTTTTATATATGCATCAAATAATTTAAAATATAAAATTTCATTTGACTCCCCATTAAATTTTATAGTAGGTTTATTTATTTATTTTTTAAAATCTATTTTTTTTTCCCAGGGTAACATTGGAAGTTGGACTATGGTGTTTTCACTATAATTTAGAATAAAGGCTAAGTTCTTCTTTTAAATGTAACCTCTTTGTTTTTAATCTAAGGCTGCGTGAAAGAAGGCTAATAAACAATAGAACATTTGGTTTTAAATTAGATGAATACCTTCCTGTGCAGTTGCATTTGTTTTGATTCAATCTGTGGTCTCAACAAGACTGAAAGTGAAACCGTTCGTCCCATTCACGCCAAATCAGAAGGATTTGGGTAATAATAAACCGTTTGATTACTTCTTCAATCATGTCTTAAAGTTATATCTATTTTTTTTAAATGATTCTTAGTTATAGATTAGTTACATTAACTAGCAAAGCATAACGTTTTACGAGAATCGAGACACGACTTACCCCAAGGAAAGAAAATGACGCTTATGTCATAAAGGGGAAAACAGGACGTCTTATTTATAAAATATGTAGGTCGAATAAATTAGAAAATTTGATAAGGTGGACTTGTCTCTTTTAAATGTTTCACTTTTTGTGTTTTTTTTCCTTCTCTTCTATTCAAAGAATACTTGTTTTAATACTTAATACACTGTTATATTGGAAAAAATAGTTTTTAAAAACAATTTATGATCTCATCGATTATCTGTATTTACGGTTTTGATTTCACCCACCAAATGGGATCCAGGTGAGGGGGGTGGGGGGAAGCAGTGGGGAAATGTGACGTCATTTTTAAATCTATACCAAAAATAATCAATATTTATCATCATCGAACTCATTTTAGTAGTTACAGGCCAAACTAATGGCCCCGATTGTTATCAAAAATGGTGGTACTGATGTAGGAAGAAGGGCAGTGTTTGGGCGGGGGAGGGTGAGGGGGTTGTTTCCACCTTTGATGGCATATTTTTGTGGCGTTAGTTCTGGTCCCAATGATCACTGTGTGGCTTACATGTTGTGTGGATGGCCAGCAGTCTAAATCGCATCTAATTCAAGCCAGAGAAGGACGTGACTCGTTAGCCTTGTATTGGGGATTGAATTCAACCCCGGAGAGGGAGTCCGCGTGGCGTTCTCACTTAACACTACTGGCATCAACCACGCATGATGTTCTCTTATGCTCACCAGATGCTCGGAGGTAAGTGATTTGCTGTTTTGAGAAACTATCGTATCATCCTCAAGCAGTCAAATAAATACCCTTTACATCAGCGTCACTTCCCAAAATGAGTTGAGCGATTCGAGAACCACACATGAGATGAGAAGCTCATTATAGAAGTTTGAAAAAATCTAAATTAACATTTCAAGCAACTGAATATTGAGAATTTAAACCTTTATTTTTCTCTACGATTTATGTCACAAAAATATCACGCATTAATAAATATGTGATGTCTTTTGTAAACAACTCATGTCGTCTTAACAATTAAGTTGGTTGCATACGATTTAGAAATAAGTATGTCTTTGGTTTTTTCTTTTTCGTTCAAAATATAAAACTATTTTGGCATTTACTTTTTTGTGATGGATACCTTTTTTGGAAGGCATTCTATTTTTAAAATTTAAAAATATTTTGTAGTAAATTCATTATTTTTTATGTAATTAACCCCAAAAATATGTTCAATAAACATTTTTAAAAAAAAACACATTACTCTTCAATAAAATAAAAATATAGATTTGTCTAACACACTTAGTCAAGCAGAGACGTCTTGGATGGGTGTTTGTACAAGTGATATAGCTCTTGGTTTGTATGATTCCCAAAACAAAATTGTGTATCATTGGGTCGTATATTGAGCAGGTTGTCTGCTTTTCTGGTAAGAACCAAGTCCCACTTGCTACTGGTTAATGCTGGTCTTGTGATAGTGGTTTATATTGCTTTCTTTGTTTTTTTTTGGGGGGTGGGTTTCCCATTGCCAATGCGGTGCGTGTTAATTCTTAACACTTTAAGCTAGACGCAGCAGTTTTCCCCATTGTATCTAATTTTAAAAATATAAGAATCACAAAATAATTTTCAACGGTATAATAAATATGCTTTTCAGAAACAATACTTGACAAGTGAGCGATTCGAAAACAACACAACAAGTCATTTAAATATGTCTATTGCATTGATATTTTTTGTTTATTTCGACACAAGTAAAGAAAAGATGAACAGTGAGTGTCCTACACAACTTTTAAAACAATGGTTTGTATTATCATTTTACTTTGCACGTTCATGAACCAAGGACTCATGTAGACATTTATTTTGAGGCACACATAATTACTGAATTAACGTCAAAATATAAGTTTCAAGCAGAGGTCGCAAACATAAAATTTATGTACAAAATATTCCTAGATTCGTTCGTCAGTCGCTGACTCATAAAAATGTTTAAATGATAAATAGATTGAACCTTTACACTAGCAGCCAAACGTTAAAAAGGGTATAGTGATCTAAGTTTTAACCGTATGTGTAACTAAATAGGTAGTGTTATGATAATGAATATATCTTAAAAGAGTTCTCTTTTGCGAGCGCTCGACGCTTTACATAAATTAGATATGATAAGATTCTTTAACTGATCATCCAAATTCATGGAGACTTCTTTTGATTAAAATTTAAATTGAACATATTCATTTTCAGCAAACAGATAAAACAATTTGATTATGAAAGCCATTTTGAAACTGCCGTACTTAAAAGGAAGGCATTTAAAATATATTTAAAAGTAAGTATAGATATATATATTTATTGTAACACATCGATTCCTGATTGCCAATATGGACTTTAACAGTGATTTTTGACATTATTGTCTTAAAGAGGAATTATTGACAGTATTGACTTTAGAGAAGATTATTTACAGTATTGACTTTAAGAGTGATTTTTGTTAGTATTGACTTTAAGAGTGAATAGTGACAGTGTTGACTTTAAGACTTATTATTGACAGTATTGACTTTAGGAGTGATTATTAACAGTATTGACATTAGGAGTGATAATTGACAGTATTTACTTTAGGAGTGATTATTGACAGTATTGACTTTAAGAGTGATTATTGACAGAATTGACTTTAGGATTGATTATCGACAGTAATGACTTTACGAATGATTATTGACAGAATTGAATTTAGGGGTGATTATTGACAGTATTGACTTTAAGAGTGATCATTGACAGAATTGACTTTAGGAGTGATTATTGACATTTTTTACAAGAATGATTTTTTTTTTTTTATATCCCCTGAGGAAGCACGTTGATTACTTTGGGAAATCTTTAATTTTCTTCAAAGATTAGCTAACAGCAGTGAAGAGGATGCGCCATCAAAAACCCCAGAGGAAAACGGCTCAAACGCAGACCTGGACTTAGAGGGGTGGATGATTTCTTTTTTTTTTTTAAATCTACAGCGGCTGGAAATGAAGGCATGGAAAGTAAAAGCATCTGTTAGGTCTCAGTGGAAGTACGTGGTAGGCAACCCAGAGCCCTGCGTGGGCTGCAGCACCACATGGGATGGATGGATGCTCTGAGGGGAAGTAAATGGTGAGGCAACCCAGAGCCCTGCGTGGGCTGTAGCACCACATGGGATGGATGGATGCTCTGAGGGGAAATAAATGGTGAGGCAGGCCAAAGCCCTCTATGGGCTGTAGCGCCACATGGGATGGATGGATGCTCTGAGGGGAAATAAATGGTGAGGCAGGCCAAAGCCCTCTATGGGCTGTAGAGCCACATGGGATGGATGGATGCTCTGAGGGGAAGTAAATGGTGAGTCAGGCCAAAGCCCACTATGGGCTGCAGCACCACATGGGATGGATGGATGCTCTGAGGGGAAATAAATGGTGAGGCAGGCCAAAGCCCTCTATGGGCTGTAGAGCCACATGGGATGGATGGATGGAATCGACCAATCACAGAATGGAACATCAACGAAGTAATGCACAATGCGACACGCGCAAATGACATAAAAAATTATATAATCCAAATGTAATAAAAACAGAACGGTTGACATAATATTGCATTTTTTTTTAAATTGTATTTATATGCACATGAATATTTAGTAATAATTTATAAAACTAAAATAACTGAACACCCTTGCTTTGCAAGAACACTTGGGATAATCAAATGCATGAAACAAACGATTTTTTTTAAGCATTCGTTCCTTCTTTTCTTGGAAGTCTAAAGCAAATGAGTCAATACATTTTGGCTTAACGGTAAAACCAAACATTCATCTGTAATAGTTATGATAGTCATGAGTTGTAGGTCAAACTAGAATCAGATATTTTTGGTCGAAGCCCTATGTATCCAGCACATCCCTGAAATGTCACTATCCGACATGTCATAATCTGATATCTCACAATCTGATATCTAACAATCTTATATCTCACAATCTGATATCTAACAATCTTATGACTCACAATCTGATATCTCACAATCTGATGTGTCACCATCTGCTATCTTACAATCAGATATCTCACAATCTGATATCTAACAATCTTATGACTCATAATCATATATCTCACAATCTCTAATGTTATAATCTGATATGTCACAATCTGATATGTCATAATCTGATATGTCACAATCTGATATCTAACAATCTTATATCTCAAAATATGATAGCTCACAATCTGATAAGTCACAATCTTATATGTCACAATGTGATATGTCCCATTGAGGTTAACATTTGTATAGACACGGGTCAAACAGGACATCCACATATAAAATAAATACAATTTTAGCAGTCTTAAAATAACATCACACACCTTGTCACGTTTTGATTTTTATTTCGTTAAGATCATGCTGTGGTCCCCAAACTGTTCAAAATATACAGCTCATAAAAAAATTGTGTCTAATGCTTGTCATATATATCTTTTCCCACTATTTATTGACTAATGCTTATACACAGGCTAAAACACGTTTCCGTTACGATATAGGTAATTGCGTCCTTAAAGAGTTCTTTTATTTTTTCTTTGGTTCTTCGAGATCCTATTCCATTACTTTGAGAAACTCCATTTTTGCCCTTTTTTTTTTCTTTTTTTTAAATGGTCACCCTATGGTGCTGTCCCTTTGATTGTATGTTGTATGCTGTAATAGGTTCTCAACCTGTGCCCCACGTGGTCCTAAGAGATTTCATGGTCTTCTGAGGGGCTCCACGGACGCCCTGAGATATAAAATGACACCCTTAACTAAAATCGCATAGACACAAGCGCTATAAAATTGCTCGTTCATCATCAGCAACTTGTAAGTACGACACAGGGTAGGCTTTAGGGGATCCCACACATAAAACTTATTTTTAAAAAGACTCCACGAGTAACAAAAGTTGGAACCACTGTCCCAGATATGAAATAACCCATTATAAAAAAAAGATGAAAAAGTTAAATATGCAAAACATGGCCATTACCTCAATAATGCCTTAGGGCGCAGGTGTTAAAGCACTTATAGTATTTATATGCTAAGATTTTTTTTTTTAAAATGTATATAGACATCGCTAAAAGGAATATCATTTAAATGTAAGTTATATTAACATCACTTAAAAAGTACGCTTTGGTAACATTATTTGGTTTCATCAAAATAGAATTTTATCCAAAAAAATCAACTAAAATTGAAAAATAGATATTTATAATGATTTAGGCAACTGGTGAAACCACTTAAAATACTTTTTTTTTTAATAATCAGCCAAAACAAAGGGGAATATATCATAAAGAGGTGTTTCATGCATAAATTTGTATATTTAAGAAATTTTGATATTTTTGAAAGACATAATACTGATTTACTTTAAGTGTATATACTTTGTATAATTTACAAAATCACATGATCATCCATTCTCCAGTTAAGCTGTTTGGATACAAGTTTTATGCATCCAATCTGGTGCATCAATTCAAAGTAAAAAAATATTTAATGTTTGCAGACCAGTCACGTACTAGCCTTTTTATTTAAAATAACATTTTGCCATAAAACGTCCATTTCATCCAAGCATTAGGTCTCGTTCAATGCTTGAGACCAGCACATGGAGATCGATATTCGCAGACTAGAATTCATGGCTGTGAAAACATTCACAAACAAGACCCCAGACCAAAAAACAAACAGACAAGGGAAGGGGGTTACGCTTCGAGGTGTCTTTTGTTTTGTTTAATTTTTTTGTTCAAAGTGTGTGTGTGTGAGAGTGGGGTTGTCGTTTTTATTCATTTTAAAAGTAGTTTCAATAATTATTTTCTGGAAATTTTGTGATTCAATTGGGTAATATCATTTTTAAATTTGTTATAAAAGACAAATACTTAATAACAAAAAAAGGTTAAAACTTGAAAAATGTGAAACTATTTCAATCGTAATATTTTGTTTTTTAAATATAGAAAACGTAATATCTTTTCAAGGACGAAAATGGATCCTACGAAAACTGTACAGATAACTTCTGCATTACTCGCAAAATTGATCCATAGTCTCTATTTGGTGCCATAGGAAAATTGTACAAATTACTTCAGAATTACTCGCAAAATTGATCCATAGTTTATAAATGGCCCCATAGGAAAATTGTACAAATTACTTCAGAATTACTCGCAAAATTGATCCATAGTTTATAAATGGCCCCATAGGAAAATTGTACAAATTACTTCAGAATTACTCGCAAAATTGATCCATAGTTTATAATTGGTCCCATAGGAAAATTGTACAAATTACTTCAGAATTAATAGTAAAATTGATCCATAGTTTATAATTGGCCCCATGGGAAAATTGTACAAATTACTTCAGAATTACTCGCAAAACTGATCCATAGTTTATAATTGGTCCCATAGGAAAATTGTACAAATTACTTCAGAATTACTCGCAAAATTGATCCATAGTTTATAATTGGTCCCATAAGCATTTTTTTAAAACCTAGGCTTAGTCTAGGCAAAGTTTTGCTTAGTTAAGAGTAATATAACAAACATTGAAGCAGACACTCTTTTTAAAATAGGAGCTAAATATGAAGTTGCCATTTTAAAATTTTGACAAAAAGTTGTTAAACATGCATATCAATAGAGTTCAACAATTCAGTTAACAATGGCTTAATCTTAACAGAACATTTTTAATTGCCCTAGAAACTTAATTTTTTTGAAAAATCACAACTCTTTAAATTGTATATAGATAATATGTATATATATTTTTTTTTAAATGGCATATCTTAATTAAATATAATTTTTTAAAATAGGCTCTAAAGTAAACTATGAATAATTATGAAGGTTTCAAGATGTCACACATAATATATAATATATAGTATTAATGTTTTTTTTGTTTTTTTCGTTTCTTCTTCCTAAGTCCTATAAACTTTTTGAGTATAAAATGTCAACCAAAATTATTATTATATGCTATAAATCAATCACAATACTTGAGTTTATAAAAAAAATATATAACATTTTCTTCTAAGTGGTGTTTCTATAAAATAAATTAAAGTATTGCTTTATGTTAAAATTGCACGACCTTGACATTAGCTGGACGAGAGACTAGATGTTAAACAAACAGGACAGTGCTGGAAACTGACCACCCGCAAAAATACTGTTAAAATGTGCACCACCAACACTGCCCTAATAAATAGATTACACCAAATTGATGGCATCTTTTGTCTTTAACTGAAAATAATTTAAATGAATAGAATATGAAGGACCCTTATGACAAACGCTACTAATAAATCAATAACGTTGTCGGAATAAATATTGCTACTAACGACCCCATATCTTGCTCCATTTTAATTTACTTAAATCACTGGCCTATACAGAAAATATAATATCTTGGTGCCTTCTTTTTCTTAAATCTTCCTGAGACTTTCGAGCAATTATTAATAAAAGTTCATTAGTTTGACCACATCCTCAGCTCTAGTCTCTTAGGATATGATTGAAGATATAAAATTTTAGTAAGCTTTTAATATGATTTTTACTGCAGAATGATTACAAGATTTTAATTTTTTTTTATAGTTTTTTTTTTTTTTTTTTGAATGATAATCATTGTTTATTTTAGCTAGCATCAGGGAATAAAGGTAAACACAAGCGGAAAATTTTTTTTTTTTTTTTCTTAAGAATTATTACAAGATTTTAATTTTTTTTTTTTTTTTTTTTTTTTTTTTTTTGGAATGATAATCATTGTCTATTTTAGCTAGCATCAGGGAATCAAGGTAACCACACGCGGAAAGGGACGTAAGAGCAAGGTTATATTTTCTTATTAACATTATCAACATACTTTACACATAAACATATTTATTCATGCATGTATCTCTTTAAACGCATTTCTTATACACAGCTGAACTGGGTGAAAATTTCAGATAAACATAACACACAAACGGAACCTTATTGAGAAATGAATAACAAATTTCACTGTGAACTACCCCAGGATTTCAAGTGATGCGTGACAGAAATCCGACAGAGGAAAAAAATCTGCACATGAGCATAACAATAGTTCGCTATGCCATTTTCGTTAAATGCTGAATTATGGGAAGGCATGACATCACAGTAAATAATGTAACCGGTCATTTCAAAGAGTGGCAGCAGATTCAACAAAAAAAAAAAGTTAGCAAAAAATAATCATCGTTTAGGGAATTTTAAAAAAAAGGGCTTTGTGTTTGGAAGCAATTCTTATTGCAACACGGTCAGCAATAGTAAGTGCCAGGCCATTGGTTCCTGTTTTCTTTTTAAAATAGTATATTGTATGTGCGACACAACATACTTATTATGCATATTGAATGAAGGCACGTTACATAATCCCCTTTCATTGTGATGACCACGGCAGTGGAAGACTGTATCCCCGAGTGCCCAAATAAGCACAATAACCAAACCAATTAGCATATTGGTGATAGACAGAACCCATGACAGACTTGGACTCAAGTGTATCGCTAAGTAACTCCGCCATATCTTAGTTTATAGTTTGATAAACGCAAGGGTAAAATGGTGTTTGTTTTTTTTTTTAAATTATGACGCCTTAAATTGTGTACAAGACATAAATTATGTAAACTGTAAGTCATTCAGGAAAGGAACGCGAAATTGGGGAAAAAATATTTGTAACATTATTTTGAGCATTTGCATAAGCGAACCTCTACTGGCCGGCCTCATAATTGGAATACATACACAAAGGATACAATAAACCAGAGATCATGTACCTAGTGCTTTGGAGACTTTGCTATTAACCTGTTGTATAATTGTAATATATACAAATAATACTATAAACCATGAAATCATGTAAGTGTTTGGTTTTGAGGCTTTTTTTTTGGCCTGTCACTTAATATATACAAATAATGCAATAAACCAGAGATCATGTAACTGTTTGGTATAGAGACATTTTTATAAAGTGTAAGAAGCAGTTTCGGGTATTGAGGTGAGATTAAAGATAATTCGTAGCGACCTCCCTAAAAAAGCGTCAGATCCATTTTCATAAGTGTTTCGCTAATCATGTTGTGATAATTGAACAACTGAGTTTTAAGCTGATCGCTTCAACAATTTATAAAACTAACATAGATTTGACTATTCTCATCAGGAATGGGAAGGGGGTGACAAAAAGGGGATGGGGAAATTTTCCGGGGACATTTTAGACATTTAAGTTTGTGGGGCGGGGGGGGTAATAATCAGTGTGATATGTTGGTGTATTAAATTATTTTTAATCTGCTACATTTATAAAACTTGAATGAGTGTGCTGTATGGAAATCTATTTTTGGAATTAGAAGCTCTATTTTTTGCTTCTAATTTTAAATATTGTTTAGAAAAAAAAAAGTTATATTTACAAAAATAAAACACTACAAACTTTGTCTTTCTTAAATCTGGTGGAATGTGTGTGGCGCATGCCCTGTAATATGCGGCCATTGAAATATACCAACCTGGAAAAGAATTATTCTATGAACCGTGGTTAAAGAAATTATACAGAATATCAAACCCTTCTCTAAATTAAACATGGATTATTTGAATACCACGTATTTGATATAACTGATTATTTGTCTTTTGTTATTCAGGTACACATCCTAATTACATCTCAATGTGCGTATCTGAACCATGTTCATGAAAAACGCGTCTCGATGTGATAGAGAATAGTTCGTTGACAAATAGGGCACGCCCTGAGATTCACGGAACACTTGGCGCATGTCAACAGGTGTCCACATGGTAAAAACAGGACCCGCCTTTGTCTAATCCTGCATAACTGGCAGAGGTGCTTCCTGCGAAGGAGTTCATTCTCTCTTCGTAATAACCTCAGGGTGAGATCCAAATTTGCGTTTGAGTTCGTCGGCCCTGACATGTAATAGAAAGAAGTCATTTAATTCCTTTGGCAGTGATGTCTCTCATTAAATCTAAACGGCAAACATTCAAGTTTCACAGTAATCTAATTATTGAAATACATCCGGGTCATTTTGTTTTCAGTTATTTTTTTTTTTTGGTAAAAAATTTAATAATTTAAAATCAATTAGTATTAATCCTTGAATTTAAATATTATTATTTTGATGATTATTGTTTGCAATTTTATTATTAATATGTTTTTACTATTACAATTTGCCAATCGGCTCATACAATCAATGAGATCCACTGTAACATATATCAACTACATACAGTACTGTAATCAAAATCTGGGGTCGTAATCTAGTTCAGGGGTCGGACCA